AATCCTATAAGGCGGAACATTCAGAACAGCGAAAAATTTCTATCAGAAGAGAACGGATTCAGTTTCAGACTGAATACTAAAGGTCTCGAATATGCAAAACCAGTGGCAATAGCTAAAGCGAATACAGGTTCAGAAGTACAACCCGCGAAGCAACAAAAGCGATCCGTTTAAACCATATTGGTCCCCGTGATAGCCAGATGGCTAGCGTATTTGCCTGCTAATCTTACGAACAGGTCGTGGCCTAGATTCGCGCTCGAATATAGAAACGTCCGTTCATCCCGCGCTAGGAACCAGCCGTCTGACAGAATGCCTAACGACGACATCAGACGTAAAGCTCGAAGTAAGGAAGCTAAGCTTTGTTAAGTTTCTCGTAAGTTAAAATAAATATATTACGCGTCCCGATTCTGACAGAAAAAATATTTGACGGAAGCATTTATTTGAAACGTTTTAGTCCTCGTGATACATTTGGTATCAATGTTATGAATTTTACGGCATGAAAAGGTACCTAGTTTGAATCTTTCGCAAAAGCATGAAAATATACAAGTACTAAGGGTTTTGCAGTATGCTAATTTCACGAAAACAAAAATTATGGATCCCACGTCGACAACATATACTTCCAGCATCCACGACCGCCTTCGCGCATTGATCTTGGACCTTATTATCGTGTAATGGGATCTTCACTATTAAAGCAAACAAAATCATCCAAAGAGAGTAATTGTTTTTATCGATAAAATTTTTCCTATCGGTAGGTGCATTTTCAACAGATGCGGCAGCTGTATGTTCGGGGTCAGTGCGTACCTATCAAAACTTCAATAAGTTATTATGCCCTCTTAAGCTTCCTTCAAATAGAAACTAATGTCTTAAATCTTGAGCCACCTATTGCTTGAGGTACTTTTGACAATTCATGGCGACTCTGATAGCGGCAGTTCTATTTCTTATATTCCTGAAAGCAAATTAGCCACTTCCAATATGTCGATTAGTTGGTTCCTCTGCTCAGCCCTCTATATTTAAGTTCTGGCGTCCGTAATACCTAGGTAAGGTTGATTTGGTGGCAGTTGGGGGTACAGCATAAATATCTATACGGCCACGTGTATACACGTGCTGTACTCTAAAAAATATTCCAATCCACCTTTTAAACAACACATAATTATATCGATTCTAATGCCGTTAAAGTATAGGTCCCTAGATTTTGGTTCTGGGTGAAATGCATAACAACACTGCCTAGACGCCTTGTCCATTCCAGGATTAAATTCGCAAAAAACCAACTGACTACGCCATCTTGACCAGAAGAGACATCTCCACAGTGTTGCAGCCCCCTATTTCAACAGCCGTGTTGGGCCCGGATATAGCGCGGGTCATCGGGGTGAAATCAACCAGGTTTGGGCGATTTATGTTTGCTGCTTTTTTTTTTAGAAGTAATGTACATCTGATAGACCTAGCTATGTTAGACAGATGCTGTCAGTTTATCTAGCCAGTCGTTAGAAGACAGAATAGTCTATAACAAGATAACAACAGCAACGAGATAGCATCAATGCACTACATCAAATTCAGCTTGAGCATCAATAGTTCCTGCAGTTCTGTGTACTGCTGCTGTGGCGCCACCTGTAACAGGGTAGTGGATACTTCTTTGTCGTTCACACAAACTTCAGCCTCACATTCATGGCACTGCCTGGTCCGCCGCTGCGTCTTTCTTGCGACTAAATGTTGGCTTATCCAGTGGATAGAAGGGCCAGCCTAACCAAGCTCTGTTGTTTAGCTCCATATAGCGTCGCAACGTAGCGTAAGACGTTCGCTACTGACGCCCGAAGCATAATAGTGCTAATGGCAATGGCGGCGACATTAGCAGTATACTAATGCTTTTTTTTCTAGTAAGTATTTGCAATTTCGTCCTAATGTAAATCCTACATTTTCCTTCGACCTTGCTCGCTTACATTCCACCTGCCAGCCGCCTTTGGAACGAGGCGCCGCTAAACAAAAGTAAAGCATGCGCGTCAACACCCCTCGTCCCCGCTGCAACGACCTTACTGACGAAAACGGATGCTCACCTTTTTCACTATTCGAGCATACCACGCATGTGTGCGTATGAGAAAGCGGAAAGGAAGAATATGACCCGAAGGGTAAATTCACGCTAGACACTATCTGGCACATATTTCACTCCCCCCGGAAACGAACGTACAGCTGGCTATCTATATAATGAACGTCTCCTTAAAATAACTTCAACTGACGTTCCCTAGAATATCGCAAGCTGTTGTAGTAATGAGGTACTTTATAAACTCTTTTTCCGCATGTTCTGTCATCAATAGTTCTTAACTATCTGCTATGAAAAATCGAAAATAAAAAATATTTTATCCATTATTGTACTGAAGGCCCAACTCGAATTGTGCAAGGCACGGTTCGTACTAGAGATAAACATGCTTGTTCGAAACTTACTTATCGTTTTAATGGTCCTAACAATAGCATGCGCACGGATAATTTCTTTATTTATTACTTACACACTTCCGAACGCAATACATAATCAAATGTCAATGTTTAGAATCACTATTAGTGGTTGAACTGTCAGTTCAGCCGAAATCAATTTTGCCGATGGCTTAGCCAAAACAAACAAACCACAATCTGATGATAACTGTAACCATAGTAATAATATTATAAGAAATCAGTTAAATAAAGCAGGGTAAATGGTGACATCAGTTAAGGCTCGCGGTGGTCTTAATGAAGGCAATTGCCCGAAAGCATAGGTACAACCAAAGGAGTGCCATTGCTAGAACTTACCCACGACTTAGGACCATACTCTGATGCTCACGACTAATAGAATTTGTTGAAGGTAGTTTACAAAAAAAACTTACCATTGTTCATTGATTGCAATCGTGAACAACAATTCTATACAAGTTACGACTTGGCACTTTTTAATTTTTTTTATAACAAATAGTTCCCATTTAAACTATTGATTGTTCTATTAATCTAAGAGTTCCCAAGTGCTTTATTTTGACTATAACCGCTTAAGGCGATAAGCAGGATTCGACGCTGTCCTGTTGGCCCGCTAATAGCGAATATTTTTATTTAAGGTTACTTAACATTATCATAGCTTTCGCTTTCGGTCCTCACTTTCACATGGATCAACTTGTACAAAAGCTTTCTCTGTATGATAAAGTACTGGAAACGACGTAGTGCTCTACTTTGTCATACATGACTAAACGTTGCAGCCTTTCAGAACTTTTAGTATTGAAGTTTCGTTTTCCTCTCCCTTTCCTTTAAGCACTCCTCGTTCGAACACTCACTCTTACACAGTCGGAAAGCGTTCAGCAAGAATAAGTCTTTTCCGCCGGCTAGATTTGCCCCCGGTAGAATCAATAAGGCTACCTCCCTCTAACGTGCTGCGACAAATCTGCGCCGATTCTATTTGCAGGGAAAAAGATAGTGGTTAGTGAGTTCGCAGGTTTGAGCTAAACCATGTTTGTCATTAAAAGTCTTTTCGTCGACGTAAGCCCAAAGAAACTAAAAAAAAAAAAGGATTACTCCTTAGACTCTATAAGCACGGCTTAGTGGAGCCTACTGGGTTGCAATGGCCTTCTCTGCTTTCCCGATCGCTGTTCGACCAGCCTATAGTTGTTATGTCATTGTGGTACCGAGTCGGTTTTTGGAAATGAACACTGGTTCATACTAGCCTGGTGTAGCGCTTACCCTCCGCTGAAGTCTTAGCGTACCACAATTGGCTTTCGCTACAAACCGAACAAGGTAGACCTGCCAAAAGTTCGTGTAAGTCAGCTTCAAACGATGGTACGCCATTTTTTGCCTTTGTCAACGTAGAGCCCGCAAGGATATCGTTTACGAAACAATCGTCCTTATGCAAAACGTTTATTATCCGAGGTATTCCCATGTTTATCTATACACCGATATAAAAGAGAGAAATTAACAGTTGTTTTTATTATCGTTCTCGTTTACTTAGGTCCGTGGCACAAACCTTCGCCAAGGCGCATACGAACTGCTCCGTCACAGACAAGAAAGTATGTTATTATAGATATTACCCTATCGTATACTGAATTATAAGCTATATTTGGTTTTAAGACTGATTCGAAGAAATTATCTGTAGTTAAAAAGCCAACAGCTATCAAGAGAACAGGTCTTGAAGGGATAGCATTTTCTATTGCTACAACATATTGGAGAAATATGTTGTTAAGAGGCCCTGCGAAGATTCAGGTACCAGCGCAGGTATCTCCCGAAATATCGAGAAGACGCTCAAGGTTGTGCGCAAACTACCCGCAAAATGGCCCCGTGTCATAACGTTTTACTTGGATGAACTAAAGCCCAGTTGATTCGATACAAATAGAAGCACGAGCCAAGATAAACACAGATTTGTTTTAAAATACGCTGACGTCATTTCTAGGAAAGATATGCTCATACATAGCAGATCGTTGAAAATAGATCAATGATCAGATAGTCAAACAGTTGTGGCTTTGTGCCCGCCGTAACTTTCTTGCGGCGGAAACTCTCACGCTTAGTTAATGCCGCGTTACTGTCGAACCATAATCTTGTTTGGATACAGCAACCCGGGTCGAAACGAGCAGTAAATGGGCCACTCCCGTTACGTCTCATGACAAATGTTGCTTATCCATCCTATGACAAAATCTTATTTATCTGCCACTTTCTACATAACATGTGGCTCGTTTACCAGTGTCGCCTTACAATAAATCAATATCACAATGGTTTATGACATTACATCATAACATTTTTTCAAATTTTTTGCTGCAGAATCTGAAGCCCCATGTAATTCTTCTCTGGCGTAGAGTTTACGGGCTCTAATATTATTATAGTATAGCTGTTATGATATCGAAAATGTGAATTTGTACTTATCGAATAAGTACGAAAGCAAAACATTCGTGACTTTTATTTAGGAGCAATTGCATTTGTAGGCAGCTGTAGAACAGTTACGTATGTGTAAAGGCGAAATTTCACGTACACATGTATTATATTATAGAGGAAACATACAAACAATATATACTCACCTTATAGCGTGATAATTGTTCATCATCGAATTCAGACGGACGAAGCTGCGCAAGAACTTCCTCCAATCCCGTGATTGAGTCCGATTTTCCACGATGGTTGCGATCAAACTAAAGACATATGTCAATTTAATACGACACGACACGACACGTCACGTCACGTCACAATTTAGCGATGTACATAGAAATCTATTACGATAATATGCTGAATAGCTTCTAAATACATAAATATGCTCGATATATACACAGATTGTCCAAATGATAAATTTTCTACACACTAGTGGACCAGTAAAATTAATACCACGTGCAATCGACACACTATATTTTCGTGTAATGTACTTTCAAGTTCAAGAAGTTAAACAGAAAACTTCAGTACCCAGTCATGTCGGTCATCGTAGATGAACTCGTAGAAAATCGGGGTCAATATCATTTCAATCTAAAATGTGGCATTTAGAAGGTAATGACGCAAGTTCCCGAAAATTAAGAGGAACAGCTAACGTTCTCACATCCATTTTGAGTTATATAAATGAGGTTGTGAGTAGCAATTAAGTTACGAAAAAAATTATTATGGTAAAATCAAACTGCTTAAATAACTAAAAACCGGCTGCCCGATGAACATCGTTTAGTGTGCAAATATATATATATATATATATATATATATATATATATATATATATTTATATATATAATCATATGAGAACGTATTTAATTTTTTTTCGTAAGTAACGACGTATATAGGTAAGTTTTTTTTATTTTTTACGCTTTCATAAACGCAATTTCTCAACTAAGCAATGCCATCAAAACAAAAAAGTGGCAAAAATAACAAGTTATTAAGAAGCTACGATTAAGCCAGTTAGAGAAACGCACACAAAATACGAAAAAATTGTCCTTATCACAAAAATTATTTTCCTTGTTCAGAGATACAGATTTCATTTTGTTCATGCACAAACGTTTCATTGAAGGTGCACCAGAGGGCGCAATGGATAATGCATATTGGCTGGTATTGTTTATCTTCGTTAAATATCCTTCACTCGAAGCAACATCAATTATATAGTATCTAAATAGCGTGCGCTTGAAGGTATGTGGAAAGTACAGCTGAATAGAATGAGGCAAACATGATAAAGTTATTCCAAACATAAAATCTACTCGGAAATGTTAAAAAGGGATCTCATCGTAAAATCATCATTTTAAAACTGCAAATAACAGAAATTTCACCGATATGACCGCGATGCTTGTGCGGCTCCACAACCATTTACATATAATTAATAGAAATACATTTAACGGAGCGTGAGCTCGACTTCACGACTGCTCAATGCAATCCTTCAACTGGAACTATCTGTAAAATACTTTATCTGGTCAGATTCGGGAAATGGTCGCCTCGACGATTGCTTTACTAATACAATTTAAGCACTGTCGGTACACGCAGCTACTAAATACTGCCTTGCTTTTTTCGTAGAGAAAAGAAGTTTTCTACGGAAATGATTAGCGCGCCGGGCATGCTTTGAACTAAAATTATGTACAGATACAATACCCATGAGTGTAAAGGAACACTCGATAATAATTGCGATTCTATGCTAGCTGACTATCGTCTGCTGATGGTATCGCCGAAGCCTTGCTGCCTTTTCCCCACGCTTAATTGATTCCGCTTGTTGGGGTGGCACGTTGCTATGAAAATGATGGAAACACTCCATACACCTCGCCATGCTTTAAAATTCCAGTACTTCAAACTAGTGCGAGTTCAAAGGATTTGAAGAACTTTATGATCGGCATTAGATAATAGTCACAAGCCTTTGTTGAAACAGCTTGACGATTTCCCAACAAATTTAGCCTAACTGTTAATGTCGCTCATACAACCGTCGGTGTTAGTAAACAGCCTACGATTGTATGCCACAATACGCGAGAACGTTACGATCCATAAGCGAATGCTTGAACGATTTTCTGTAGTTGTCATGTGTTAGCGTGTGAAAAGAGGATAGGCCCACATTAAGTAGGATCGACAGTTTTCAGACGGTAACCGCAGGGCGTGAACGGCCGCTCAGCATTTTAGTTGTACTAACTAAACGTGCTTTAACCTTTTTTCAGGTTTAGAGGACACATTTAAAAACGAGATCGTTTGTGATACACAGTTTGCACAATACTTGAAAACCGAAGGATGAGGAGACAAAAAAAAACTACTATCTTGTATTAACGAATTTCAAATTGGTGATAGCGATTAAGAAATTAAACATCAGCAGTCATTGACTGAAATATACAGGCGGCACTCACGCTGGCGGAGTGGCGCACTAACTCGCGCGAAGGGGTACATGTTTTAGGTCCCTTATGTTCTCACCGTATTTTTTCGGATTCCGTCAGCGTGGGAAAGCGCTGACAATGTTTCCGCCTGTTTGGTTTTCCACCGGTGAAATAAAGTTGTCCAATTAAAGTTAGTACTTTGTTTACATATATGCCTAATTTGAATAAAGTGAACGATAGCTTGCGAAATAAATACGGACCGTTCCCCGACACGGAAGAGGAACTCGTATGAAAAACATTGACTTTGTACCGTCCATCCATTAAATGGCGTATTCAAAGGGCCCGTCAAAAGATTGTTCATATTGAAGTCTAAAACGCGCTTCTAATTTTACGAAAGTACCAATTTTTGAATTATCGAATTCAAAAGAATTCATAAATATTTCGAATGTAGCTAGTTTAGCGCTTTTATTTTGTGAATGTCAAACCTGCGTAAATACAGGCAGAGAACTAAGACAGAATGTTATATCGCAACGGAGGGTCCGAGGAAGAGATAGAGTCAGGTAGGAGACGGATAGGCACGCGACCACGAAGCACAGCTAAATTGAGAGTCAAAATGTCCGTACCAATATCAAACTTACGATTCGTAGAAGGGACCAAGAGTTACGCCCCTTGCGGCCAGATTCTGAAAACAAGAAAACAGTGTAGAAAAATAAGTATCCAATTAGTCTACAGAAAAAAAGGCTAAAAAATAGACCATTTGCATCGGACGAATATGTTTCTGACTGCATTAGTAGACAGTACTTGCTCGAATCTCGTTAGATAGGCACACAGCTTTTTAAGTAGAGGTTATAGTCAGTTATTGGAGTATATATATATAAATCGAGTAGCGATATGGAATAATATAACGATATGAAGAAAGAAACAAGCTTGAGTCCTAGATGCTAGTTTGATAATGTTTTATTTGAGAAACCCGTATACTGCAAATAAAAAATGTCTTTGCATACCCCAGTAAATGTTCTTAATATATTCGCAATATGCGATTAGCAGCACTGGCGAACATTGGGGTATAATTGACCTCCATATACCTAGCCAGTGTCTCCTCCCTATCATAAGGTCACTAAAGAAGACTGAATAACGGAAGCTTCTAACATGCCGTGAAATATATCCGTTCTCATATGTAATATCGCTAGGCCGAATTTCCGCTAACATATACAACATCTCGAACATTCTCCGATATTCTTAAGAAGACCTAAACGGTTTGATGTTACATAAGAACATCGTGCCCTTGTACCGAATTCGATAGTCTCGCACAAAATCAGTCAAGTGGAGTACCAACTCGCGTTGCTTTTTTCTGATTTTTGGTCATGTCTGATTATTTCGTGACACATTGGTATGTAGACTGCCATAGAAGGCGAAGCTGGATTTGAATTTCAAAAAACGTATAACCCATTGTCATTGTGAAGTGTCATACAAGACGGTTGAGGTGACGAATCTATAAGGCGCCGTCACGAACGGTCGAGGATGCCAGCCTAAAGGGTCCACAATATCATGAGATGCTACAGAACGTGGTTCCATGTTTGGCACGACTCACTGTTTAAAGGTAAGAAGCCTCTTAAGAAGATGAAATTACCAAACATAGCAAAGATGCACTGAACAGGAACACTCTGGAGTTTTATCCGCTTTTCCTGCAACCTAGCAGCCCGCCGAATGCGACACCCGTTCCTGAAAGCATTCGCGTCATCTCTAAGGAAGATCCCTTCAGTAAATGAAAGAGGTCTCAACAGATTGTCGACAGTGACATATCAGGTTAACCATGTTACGAACATATTTTTTCATGCACTATTCTTATTTCAGATTTCTCCTTTTGTAGCCCAGGTTTTTAACTTGGGTTGCCCATTTGTGAACAGAGAGCTATCGCATAGGTAAATGAAAAAGAAAAAACATTTATTGTGTTTTATCTTGCTTTATTATATTTCGTAAATGAAATATATGAAATTACCAATGTCTATCTCGAGTACAAAAAAACACTGGTTCATTATACGCAGAGCTTCAGCTAATGCAGCCATTGAATGAACACAGAATTGTAAAAATGCGTTACGTGTTACAGTGGACAAATATAACCAAGTAATTTCTTAACATTTATAATTCATGTTCCATGAACGTTCTCTGTTGCCGATTTTCTAATTTTTACGGTTTTTTAACTTACATCGACCGAAATCGGGTAGAATCAATTCTCGTCTGCGACAAAAATCTGGCTCTTCATATACAAAGCTTCTTTCATTGGCTTGCGATGAAAAAATTCAAAGTATAGCCTAACCTTCTCTATTAATACATTTACTGCTATTACAGTGAAATCTAACGAAGTTACCAAAGTTCTAGGTCATCCGAAACAAGGGGCTGAGTTATCTGTCACTGCCAATAGTTCGTCACTGTCAATGTGGGTTTTCATCGCTGTCACCCGTATAAGCCGTAGTGAGGCAATGTTGAAACGAATCTATGAGGGCGAAAACAAGTAAAGCCCATCAAATGCCCTACTTGCAAAAAAATTAACTGCCAGCTAGGTAGACCTAAGGTTTTAGCAGAAAGCGCAAATACGAGATAACTTTCGAAGCTGTCAGAAGATAAGGGACCTAATGTTATTGTACAGGAGCTGAAACACTCTACAGCGGTTCATAGCATCGACGAACCGACAGTAAACGACAGAAACGAATTTTGTAATTTACTGCTTCCTAATCCTCTGTCGTAGGGAAAATTAGGGTATGAAATCCTTGATCATACCTACCGTTTTACGTGTGCGCTACAAGCTATCAAATACAAGATGTAGGTCAACCTATGAAACTTGTACTTAAGCCTAAATCGAACGCAACTATTTGAAAAATTGGTCTAAAGCGGGCTAACATTTTACTCAAAATAAAGTACTGAAATTTGAAGAATCTCGAGTTTGTTTCTGCCAAGCATTCCTTGATCAAACAAGTGCCTAAATTTTGCCTCCCCCCTAGTAAACTCCAAGTTATCACACTCAAAGAATCTTGCCATTGATATTTTAGTCAGCAATAAATATCTCACATCTGCTACAGCTCAAGAAACCTATACTTGTTACGCATTCTGTCATGAAAAAAACAAACAATTTAGAAAATAATATTCTATTATTTTCCGACACCAGAGGAAAAGAGGGCGGTTTTCAATAGAAAAAATTGTTTGTTCACATCCGAAATGCTTGATATACTTCAGTAGGTAACAATAACTATTTGTAGACAGAAATATTATCCTTCTAGCATTTTTGTTAGTAACAGATATGATATATCCAAATAGAATTAATGAAGCTTGAAATCACTCTGGGTGTGTACTTCCAGGGCAGCTTACAGAGTTTTCTCAAAACTCACCATGACGTAATATGTAAATTCAGGGGGAGAAAGCGAACGCGTCTCAGCTGAGCAGGCGTTTTGCTTTTACGTGAAGTAGCATTCTAGCAGGAGCGTCGTTTGAAAGCTAAATGTTTGGTATTCGGTATGTTATTTCTATTTCAGTTCAACATACTGTCAACTAAACACAACTTGTAAATGTGAAAGTAACAGTAATGTATGTGCGATTCGTTGAAGCATGTATATAACAGAGAAAAAACGCAAACGATATAAAAAAAATGAAAAATATCACCGTGCCTGAACATATGTTAGACGTATACCATGAGATTGATAACTAATAAATATGCAGACAGGACTTACGAACGAAACCGAGGGAAAGAAGTGATTGACGATAAGCATGAAAAAGATATAGATAGTATTCAGGTAATTTGTTTAATGCAGCAATCGAAATCATCATTGTAATGTTCAATCTAATATTCCGAGTTCAGTTTTCTTACCTTCACTGGCGACAGCCATCAGGGATTGAGTCGAGCCATCTACCTCTACAACAGAAACAACACAACACAAAACGTCGATTACTTACTGAACATCTAACTCCATATGTATATATATATATGTGTTTACTTTACATGATGCAGAACGTATCTGTGCAGCAGACGAATTCTGCTCAAAACATAGAAGCCGTGATAAGCAACACGTGCAGCGTCAGAAGTCAATTTCTGTTAAAATACATAACTACACATATTATTTTAAATCTTATTTACTTAATATTGCTCAACATATTTAATGGTCAAAGACATAAATTTAGTATAGTTAGTGCCTAAGCCTGTGCCATTCCGTCACCCTGTTTTTTGGCACTTCGCCAAGTTCTAAAATATCATATATATCTCCGCATATAGCGAAGGAGATTAACATCGTAACATCCATATTGGTAGATATAGTTTTTATCAGTACATTAGGTAAATGCTCCGCGTGTTTTAAGAAACGACATTGGCCTTTGAAGATTATTCGCCATCTCTACTAGCACTTTTAAGAAGCACTTCATATAAGTTTGGGTCCAGTGTCGCCTAGCTCTTTAAGAAACTATTTTCCTTTTTTACATGGCTGCTTTTGTTCTTACTTCATATTACAGTCATGTGTATATATTTCCACATACATACATATATATATATATATATATATATGGAGATCGTCGGCAACATCCATGTCAAAATGTTCAGGAAGACAGCCATGGGAGTTGGCACGTGATGTGATTATTACCCAACCTACAAACAGCTTCAACTTCAGGCTGCCATGACATTACAGCAGCGGAAGAAGCGATGAATAAGCTAACAAGGCGAAGAGCAGCCATAATAAGCTTTACGAGTCGAAACAGACGAGGGGCAGTTTCGACACCTGTCCCCACACCAAGGAAAGATAGAAGCTCTCGAAAAAATATCAACATCTTAACGTGCAGCTATCAAATTCAAATGAAACCGAGAAGCTGGGCGGGTAGTCATTGCAACTTAGGCAAACATACAGCTCAATGGCACATACTGAGGTTTCACCAATGAAACCATATTAAGCATATAAAGGCATATTATTAAGACTGATAGTTCATGGATCACGCAGCAACCTCATTCAATCATTCGTTGAATCGCTGTTCGGCTTCTAGACTGGTGGCTACTGCTTCAACTAAGGGCGACTACAAGTGGCCATCTTGCTTAGACGGAAGGTCAAAACGATGTCTGGCCGACTAATTAAACAGGCGGAAGCCTCAGACCATTTGACGTCGTCTTTGCCACTTTTGCTATTCTGCTTTTCTTCTATATACATATCCGGTGCCCGGAAGTATCAATCTGTCATGGTCATCTTACTGCCATTGCTACAGAAGTTCTGAGCATTCCTACTGCTGAAGACGTTCTGCCCGTACTACAAAGTTATCACACAAGCAGATATAAATATGGTGGTGATCTCGTTCTGGCAGTCATATTCATTGCAAAGTTGTGCCTTGTAAGAGAATTACGTGTTGAAATAGTGTGTTTAATTGCCGTTTCTCCCCCAGTTTTATGTATGACAGGCACCACTTCAATAGCTTACAAAATCCAACGGGCCATTTTAGTTTTGGTTGAATGCGTTCGGATCTGTTACGGCCTATCGTAACCGATCTGCAAATACCTGTCGAATGGTGTCAGGTCTGTCCGAATTTCCGCTAACGTTATTTTATTTGTTCTGAAACTCGAGTTTTCAACGCCACAGGAAAATATTTGTGGAAAACGCAATAGCAGATGACGCAATCCTGAGCTCTCAAGCGTTTTATGCTATAACAGTACTTATATCGAGTGGTGCAGCTGTTTATTTATTTCTTACTTATACGGAAACGTTCTAGAAAAGCTGATAATAAGAATTCTCGCTTCTAAGAACTGTATGTCACGATTGTTACACTGTATATATATATACATATATAGGACCTTATTCGTTGCAATATGTAACTCATTATGTCATTCACTTACATGCCAAAGATCGATTGCAGAAATTACGAAAGTTCGCGGTGAGAATGGATTGACCTCATTAGAAGGCAAGCAAAAAATATTGAAGCACTGATATTACCCATGATGAGGGTATAAAGTTATGCTACTCCTACACCTGGATACTCTCTCTCTCTCTCTCTACTGCAATTAATTTTTTTCCGGTAACTTAAAATTCCCTACTTATTGCCAGGTTGATATTCTATAATCATATGTTTAGATTAATTAAATTTCACGTATTTTAAATACCTGTCTAATATCGCTTAATGGTGACAGTTCTCTACTAAAAAGGGGTGATGTGTAATGGCGCAGGAAGTGGCCTAGGTTAGTCCTACCTTTAGTTGGCCTGTAACCCAGTACTATCGTTATGTTGTCCTGTGTATTACAAGTGACGTGACCAATTCCGAATATTCTTTGATGTTTGTAGTTATGCATATACGAACCATGTCATAACAAAGCGTCAAGTGTATCAATCCCCCCCCCCCCCCCCGGACATGTTTGCGAGGCGGTCATAGCATGATTTATTTACTTCACAAAAACACGGACTTCTCATGTAGGGAAACCATACAAGCTTAACACTACGTTTAACGGACATGTTTCCTCTCACGGTACTTTGACGGCTCTCAAACACAGGTTTCTAGATAGTGATTTTTTTGCTAGGCAAACGTGTCCGCTCGGCTTTACTTGTAGCATATAGCATAACATGCAACAGATACTACGAATCAGACTTGCAGGATTTGCAAAAGATTTGCGAACGTAGTAAACCGATTTCTTTGGATTAGAAAAATACTATACCTTTTAAATATGATTTCCCAGTTTCTTTACGGCGCCATATGGCACGTAACATGAATAGTTTCGAAACGCAATTGCTTCTAGTAGAGAGGTTTCGGTGTAATCCTATCAGTGGTTCATTGAAACGTAGTTTCGCCTTTTTTACGATTTTCTTCACAAACCCCGATTGAAAGCACAGACTCAGCGTGCGCGTCTAAGTTTGGGCTGCTTTAACTCAAGTAATAAAAGAGCAAACAGAAATCTTTCCCAAACAACCAAAGAGCATTGTTGTGGCACTACTATGTATACGAAATTGCATTTGACAGGATTTTGCAGGGGAAGCAAGGTGCACAATAGCAACATGAGGGTAATATCAAAATAAAAACTCTTAATTCAAAAAAGCCCAGGAATAGACTTTGAGTGGTTCGCGTTCATGAGCAGCAAAAGATACAGTGATCAAATAAAGGAGCCCAGTAGCTGCGAAATTCCATGCGGCCACACTTCACGAGGGAACGGTAATTCGTTGAAAAGTAAAGCTAAATAGGTAAAACACCGGTACGACCACTTTTTTTTTTCTGCATTCTGTGATTCTGTGGATGCAGCGAGGGCGCTGGGAGCGCATTCTGAGACTTCTACAAATGCTTATTCTTTAACACTTCAAGTTGTATATGCGATGTATCGTGTGATTTGGAACAAACATTAAAAGCTATTGGACTGACAACGCAGGGACGTTTGGAATATTTCCATTTTTCATTTGATTCATTGTATTCACATCTATATCTACACAGATCTAATAAGGTAAACAATACATAAGAACTTTCATCAATATATATATATATATTTTCGCAATGGCCTCTTATCTAACATAGGCTTGTAACTCGTATATAACAAAAAAGAATGAAATTCAATTCTGCTAAAATATTTCATGGATACTAACCTTGCTGTGCTTGCGTAATGATATTGCTTCGTTGGGTCAGAACTTTCGAGTATACAAGAAGGTCTCCTGAGGGGCTTGATCCACCTGGACCGCCTTCGCAGGCGCCACAAGCTTCCACCGGACCGCTCGAGCTGCGGCGCCGCTCAATGGGGTCTTCGTTTCTGTAAGACAATACAGCCAAGCAGATATAAAAAGAAAGAAAAACACCGCGTCGATTGCGCAACATAATTAGCTGGATACGTAGATTTACACCGCAGGAAACGTGCGTGTTTTCTAGAATAAATCACGAGTTTACGTTGATAAATTGGCAATTCTACAGGCAATGATCGCGGAACCTCCCATATCATCATCTAACAAATGTATATTTGGTTTATTAAAATCTGTTTTATATTCCGAGACATATTTTTTTGTTTAAAGGAAACTATTCCTGCTTAATTTAGCTGTACGCTTTGTGACTTAAATTCCTTGAAAGAGTCTCCTTTTCTATTTTTATTTAAAGAAAATATTCCCTACATATTAGTTTTTTGGGCTCACGAAACCCATGTATCTCTAAAAAGTAATCCGAATATTGATCTTTGGTTTGATATAAGAGAGGGGAACCTTCCGCGAAGTATGCTTTCCAATTATGATTTTTCTTAATCAAAAAAAAAAACTATTTAGGCCAAATTAAAACACGTAATTAAGGCGCGAAATACGCGTCCTTTCTGAGGCTTTCATTTTATTAGGTCAAGGCTTGTCAGCAGTAGCTCCCATTAATAATCTGTCAGATTACATAAGCAGATACAGATATTCGTTACCGTAGTGTTATATGTATAGATACATACATACTGAATAGTCTAAAAATGATTAGCTATTTTTCTAACTAGATGCCCGTTCAGTCACATACATTAGGCGCATATGAGCCGCATCGTCGATGCGGTGTTATTTTAAAGCTGAAATTCTGCAGAAAATTGTTGAAATATATTCAAACATAAAATAGAATGTTTCAAAGATACGCGAAATTTCTGCAGGTCTTCGTTTTAGTTTACAATTTTATTACGAAAAAAGGTACAAATTTTCAGATACCAGGCCCATACAAAAGTGTATGCTGTCCACAGTCAAGATGCCTTGTCCGCAAAAATGATCCTGTCGCTTTAGTTCTGGAATTTTTTTTCTTGTGAAGGGTGCTGCTCGTTGTGGGCGAGCAATTCTAGGAAAAATTGATGAGACTCCCCGGAAATAGGGCAACCGTCGGCAAAGGATTAAACATCCAGTCCCAAACGCTTTCAAACTATTTGGGAAGGCTGGCTATGAATGAAGCTCTATGTTTAAATGCCGACGCAAAAGAATTTGCTCGATCGAAACGTTACAGAAACGCAATGAAATCGAGACATTTTTAAAGTGGTTGATCGGGGCGGTAACAAGTAGGTCACATACAGCCATTATGTATAAACAAGAAGAAAAAATGTCCATCATAGTCTCTGATAAAACCCACACCGGTGCCGAAAAAGTGATGCTATGCGCTTGGTAGGATCGGAAAGATATCGTCTATATTAAATGTATAACTTCTTCGAAATTTCTTGTCATAGACTGTGAAAATTATTACCGTTCTGGTTAACATAGCACCAGGTTATTGATTCACAAATTTTGAAGCACGAAATTGTTTTGTGGCGCATTCCATCCGTTTTTTTCTGGCGTACGTTCAGTCTTAAATACCCCCTCCCCGCTTCCCCACAAAACAAAAGTCTTAATTCTATGCCGAACGCACCCAGCCCCTTGTATGTACATAAATATACATACCTACACAAAGCCTTAATTACTTGGCAGTCTCCGCTTGCGGTGACAACATCTGGAACGATTCGGAAACATCATAATTTCTTGTTCTCTATTGCCCCCTATAGCCTACATTAATCGCGAAGCTTGTAACTACGATACCCGTTTTCAATCTATGCAAAGGATTATGAGACTGCCATTTTCTATGGCTTGGCTCAGTTCTCACTTCTGGCTTCTGCTAATTCTCACGTTCAAAGCTCAGTTGGGAAGAAGAGTAGTTTGTTATTTAGTTGGGTGAACGTATAGAGAGAGAGGGCTCTGTTACTTACATACTTAGTCACTTACATGCCTCTCCCGCATTTTGATTCCCATCCGATCATACTTAGGACGCAGATGAATCTCAAGCGGCAAATGCCGCAAGCCTTTAAGCCAATTCATCGTTGCCACGCAGTAGATAACACAAGGCCACAAATATTAAGAGAAAAGCTACAATGCGTCCTTGCATTCATCTTCGCTAGAACACCGCGAACGGCGAAAGACTCCTAAATACTTATTACGGACGGAGAATTTGTTTATTATTTAAGAAAGAAAACTTCGGCCATTGCTGATAAACCGCTCATGAAACCGAGGGCCAACTGTCAGATTTGGAAATATATCTCGATTAAACACTAAGTAATGAAAACATTCATACAGGGATTGTTTTCAATAACATATGAATCAGCAGTAATTTTGAGACAAAATTATTTACTATTCTTTAACCTTATTTTAAAGCTTTTCACGAACCTTGCCTTGGTCTTTGAATTATATGCATCTAGTACTACGGAGATTAGATAGTAGGGAAGAACATGCCGACCAGTTTTCACCAACGTAATCATATATGATTGATATTACTTGATGATTCAGGCTAAAAACTATTTACCGAAAATCAATTTATTTCACTGGAAATGTATTAAATTAGCTAGCATTAGTCAATGGACTCCTGAAACCCAGTAAATAGCTATACCAAAGGCTAATAATAGAAGCGATTTACGAAAGTCACAGGCTCATGCTTACATCGCTGTATTGGAAACCTCTAGTTTTGTAGACATAAGGTTTCCCTTTGCGCCTGTTCTTGTCTACGCGCTAGATTTGTTGACCAATATAGACCACTTGCATACTGGCAATCGCTAAGCGGCCTCTTCTACCTCTAGCCCAACCTGGCAGCTTGTAAGTCGCTTCTAATGCTATGACAGCTATCGTCTATTCATAACCCCTCTAGAGGTGAGCAGACGGCCTGTATCCCATGCATCGTAACGCCATTGCCCACCATCCTGATCGCTCCGGGCAATAGAGCTTGATTGCTATTTGACAACACAGGTGCTACCCACGCAACGGCCAATATCCCGCCTGCTTGCGATGTATCTCATCTATCAGTCATATGCGATGGCTGCGGAAACGACGTAGATATTCAAGACACAAAGGCACGTTCTTCTTTTTTTTTTTTTTATCAATTTAACTGTGCCTGACGTACTATAGTGATCCTTCATGTGGTCTCTTATAGTTGCTTGTTATTATATTAGACGATGTATGTATCAAAGCCACGCAGTAATAGGGACATATGTGCACACACGTACATCCCCTTTCACATGAACCTTTTTAGGCCAAATTCGATGAAGCGGGATCCTAACCTATACTTTACTATACAAACACCGATCCTCGCGTCGCGCATCGATATAGAAAAAGTTATTGTATTGTCGTACGCTTAGGTGCGCGTTCAACTACGGCATCATTACGTGGTTAGGTAGCACCTCGTACACGTTGCCATTAGGGGCAAGCTTAACTCTATAGAGAAAGCCCAAAGCAAAATAAACAACGAAAAACCGTGTAGTGAACAAATAGTAAATTTGAGCAAGTTACATTTAGTTCTATAAGGTCACATGTGTCTGCAGAGTACAAGTAATAAATATTGTTGAATTTACTGTTGGATTAATCGATCGTCTACGATTGGCACGATGCAGACCCAGGCGTACTGATGTTACACTGCTGCCAGCTTGATCTTTACAAAGCGTTTTCTTAGGCAACAAGTCAGTATCGTTAATATATACAATTTTTCCATCGGTTCACACAATTTTTTATTTATAAAGGGGTGCAGTCACCAGGCGGCATAGTCACTGAAATAAACCGCTGTTTAGAGATCAACCGTCGCTAATGATGCTTTCATCGCAATCAACAACAGCAGCAGCTGCAATAGCCGTTGCAACAAGATCATTGCTATCATCAAGGCGTACTGTATGCAATGGTCATGTTTGGCTAGGAAGTCGTCAAAGTCAATATGCCCCTGGAGAGTCATGTATTAGCCCTTTTCCCAGTTTATTTGCGCTCTCCTCTGGCCGGCCTGTTTGCCAGATCGAGAAGAACTCGTGGATCCGAATCCCTACGCAAACTGGGCCAATTTGCAGCTAGAACCAAAGGCACCAAGCTCTGGCGGGGCATGGACTTCGAAGTTGTGCAGAAGCTAAATGTAGTTCTTTCAGATCAAATAATGTTACTTATTTTGGGCCAGCGAATAGTTGCTGCTTCCCGATATATCCAATAGGGGGGAGCTGATCTGCTGTAGAGTTTTTCAAACGAACGCTATAATTGGTTGAACGACTATAGAGGCACCGGTTATTGCGAACGGGGACAAGCTGAAATACCTTTCTTCTTGCCTACTTCTTGCCGCTAGCAGAGAAATCAAGAAACTTCCTGAAGAGATAAGCTGACGCATTTAAAGATAAGTACCAGGCGCTCTGTTTATTTGGCAAGTTAACGCGACAACGGCGCACCAAACTAGCACTGCCTGAAAGCCAGCGTTCGTAACTAACGTATGACAAGCGTTTGAGCGAAAAATTATTTGAGGCATCGAACCATAATTTGTGTTGAACGTGCTTAAAGATGACTTGTTATTGAATAAGCCTACATAGAAATGACCATATACCATTATGAAGAAAACGAGCTCTCTAGACGGTGTCATTTCTGCGAAATGGCAATGGTCTTCGAGCAGAAAATGCCAGAAGAACAGTTTTTGCTTAATCGTCACCGGTAGGTAGCGTAGGTGATACTTAAAAACACGGCCTCAAATATAAAAATTGACTTTTTTTATTCAGTGCTTGATATTCAATTGTTTCGTTATATAGAGAATTAATGCCTATTTCCTTTGGCAGATGATACCCACTCGTTGCTTCTCCAAAAAAACTACGAAGCCCTTTGTTTCATCATGGCTTTCTTGATAAGAATCATATGGGTCATCTGTCTTCTATGTATCAACTTGTCTAAAATATTTCCGCTTCACCTAATCGCCGATGTAGACACTGTTTACATAAAGCGGGTGAAAAGGCAGCGAAAATCGAATTCTCCTTTAAAAGCGGTTATTCCGAGATGCTGTGTTTAG